TACAACATCAAGAACGCGGTAGATTTTAAAGACAGAGTCAACAACTCCCAGATTAGAGAAGAGGAAACATTAGTATCTTTTGACGTAGTATCCTTATTTCCCAGCATACCAATAGAATTAGCACTTGACACAATAAGACAAAAATGGACCAAATTAGAAGAGCACACGAATATACCGAAACAACTATTTATGGACATAGTTAGATTTTGCATACAGGAAAACAGATATTTCAAATACGAAGACAAAATATACACACAACTTAAGGGAATGCCAATGGGATCACCGGCTTCCCCAGTAATCGCAGATATATTAATGGAGGAACTGTTGGACAAGATTACAGATAAATTAAAAATAAAACCAAGACTCTTGACCAAATATGTAGATGACCTTTTTGCCATAACGAACAAAATAGACGTGGAAAATATTCTAAAAGAATTGAATTCCTTCCACAAACAGATAAAATTTACAATGGAATTAGAAAAGGACGGGAAATTACCATTTTTAGACTCTATTGTAAGCAGAATGGACAACACACTCAAAATAAAGTGGTATAGGAAACCCATAGCCTCCGGACGAATACTCAACTTCAATTCAAACCACCCAAAGAGTATGATAATCAATACAGCACTAGGCTGTATGAATAGAATGATGAAAATATCGGACACAATATACCACAAAGAAATTGAACATGAAATCAAAGAACTTTTGACCAAAAATGACTTCCCCCCAAATATAATCAAAACATTATTAAAAAGACGACAAATCGAAAGAAAAAAGCCAACAGAACCTGCTAAAATATACAAATCACTAATATATGTACCACGACTATCAGAACGCCTCACAAACTCAGACTGTTATAACAAACAAGATATAAAAGTAGCACACAAACCGACGAATACATTACAAAAATTCTTCAACAAGATAAAGTCGAAAATCCCGATGATCGAAAAAAGCAACGTCGTTTACCAAATACCATGTGGCGGGGATAACAACAACAAGTGCAATAGTGTCTACATAGGTACAACAAAATCGAAGCTAAAAACAAGGATTAGTCAACATAAATCGGACTTCAAACTAAGACATCAAAATAATATACAGAAAACAGCACTTATGACCCATTGTATAAGAAGCAACCACACACCAAATTTTGATGAAACAACAATCTTACAACAAGAACAACACTATAACAAGCGACACACATTGGAAATGCTACACATAATTAACACACCAACCTACAAACGACTAAACTACAAGACAGACACAGAAAATTGCGCTCACTTGTACAGACACCTCTTAAACAGTCAAACAACCTCAGTAACAATCTCCACGTCAAAAAGCGCAGACGTGTAAAATAATGTATGTAAAATGTTCGAAATAATGTTTAATTTATTGTATTATAATTGTTAATTGTTTTTTGTATCTTGGTGTTAGTGCCCTGAAGACGGTTTGCCGATGTGCAACCGAAATATATCGGAAGAGAATTGAATAAAATTGTTTTTCATTGTTTGTTTTAACAAACACGGACCTCGAGCCAGCCAACAAATAAATATTGAAATATGGAAAGGTCGCCAGAGCCATCAATAAATATCAACGGAAGGCACGCCGTATGCACAGCAACCAACATGAGCTACGCAAAAATAAAAACTAAATACAAGGATTCGAAAAGAACAATTAATAAATTCCAACTAACACTGGTAAAATTAACTAAACTTAAATCTAGTTTAAAATTTTTGTTAAAATGTAGAAAATCAAATTTAATACCTAACTTCATCAAAAACTTGACACAGCATTTGACCATACTGACCACTGACAATAAAACCCACCCTGACATAACAAGAACATTGACTAGACACACACATTTTTACCATACCAAAATATTAAACTTACTTATAAAACACAAACACAACCTATTACAAGAACAAACAAAACATATGGAAAAAGCAAAAACAAACATAGAACAACTGATGACCACAGATGACGCAAAAGCGTTTTTTGAGAGCGAGAGAAATATAGAAAACAAAATAACAACAACACTCAAGAAAAGACAAGAAACGAAACACGATAAGTTACGAGATCAACGGAACCTAGCCTTAGCGGATAACAACACGCAAAGAGAGTGGTTTGTAAACAAAACAAAAATAGAATTCCCGCCAAACGTCGTAGCGTTACTCGCAAAAGGGCCGAAGTTCGCTCTCCCAATCAGCAAGAGAGATTTTCCTCTCTTGAAATACATCGCAGACGGTGAGGAGCTAGTGCAAACAATAAAAGAAAAGGAAACACAAGAGTCGGCGCGCACAAAATTCTCTTTGTTAGTCAAAGAGCATAAAACCAAGAACAACCAAAACAGTAGGGATCGAGCAATACTGGACACAGTGGAACAGACACGAAAATTACTGAAAGAAAATATAAATATTAAAATTCTATCGTCGGATAAGGGCAACAAAACCGTAGCAATGGATGAGGATGAATATAAAAATAAAATGACAAATATTTTAGACGACTTATGCGCGTATAGAACATTGAGACTAGATCCGACATCAAGACTACAGACAAAGAATAACACCTTCGTAGCACAATTATTCAAGATGGGTCTTATTTCAAAGGACGAAAGAAATAAGATGACTACAACAACAGCGGTACCTCCGAGGATATATGGACTACCAAAAATACACAAGGAAGGAACTCCACTGAGACCAATATGTTCTTCCATAGGATCTCCATCTTACGGGCTGTGCAAATATATAATACAAATATTAAAAAATCTGACAATGGACTCTAGGTACAACATCAAGAACGCGGTAGATTTTAAAGACAGAGTCAACAACTCCCAGATTAGAGAAGAGGAAACATTAGTATCTTTTGACGTAGTATCCTTATTTCCCAGCATACCAATAGAATTAGCACTTGACACAATAAGACAAAAATGGACCAAATTAGAAGAGCACACGAATATACCGAAACAACTATTTATGGACATAGTTAGATTTTGCATACAGGAAAACAGATATTTCAAATACGAAGACAAAATATACACACAACTTAAGGGAATGCCAATGGGATCACCGGCTTCCCCAGTAATCGCAGATATATTAATGGAGGAACTGTTGGACAAGATTACAGATAAATTAAAAATAAAACCAAGACTCTTGACCAAATATGTAGATGACCTTTTTGCCATAACGAACAAAATAGACGTGGAAAATATTCTAAAAGAATTGAATTCCTTCCACAAACAGATAAAATTTACAATGGAATTAGAAAAGGACGGGAAATTACCATTTTTAGACTCTATTGTAAGCAGAATGGACAACACACTCAAAATAAAGTGGTATAGGAAACCCATAGCCTCCGGACGAATACTCAACTTCAATTCAAACCACCCAAAGAGTATGATAATCAATACAGCACTAGGCTGTATGAATAGAATGATGAAAATATCGGACACAATATACCACAAAGAAATTGAACATGAAATCAAAGAACTTTTGACCAAAAATGACTTCCCCCCAAATATAATCAAAACATTATTAAAAAGACGACAAATCGAAAGAAAAAAGCCAACAGAACCTGCTAAAATATACAAATCACTAATATATGTACCACGACTATCAGAACGCCTCACAAACTCAGACTGTTATAACAAACAAGATATAAAAGTAGCACACAAACCGACGAATACATTACAAAAATTCTTCAACAAGATAAAGTCGAAAATCCCGATGATCGAAAAAAGCAACGTCGTTTACCAAATACCATGTGGCGGGGATAACAACAACAAGTGCAATAGTGTCTACATAGGTACAACAAAATCGAAGCTAAAAACAAGGATTAGTCAACATAAATCGGACTTCAAACTAAGACATCAAAATAATATACAGAAAACAGCACTTATGACCCATTGTATAAGAAGCAACCACACACCAAATTTTGATGAAACAACAATCTTACAACAAGAACAACACTATAACAAGCGACACACATTGGAAATGCTACACATAATTAACACACCAACCTACAAACGACTAAACTACAAGACAGACACAGAAAATTGCGCTCACTTGTACAGACACCTCTTAAACAGTCAAACAACCTCAGTAACAATCTCCACGTCAAAAAGCGCAGACGTGTAAAATAATGTATGTAAAATGTTCGAAATAATGTTTAATTTATTGTATTATAATTGTTAATTGTTTTTTGTATCTTGGTGTTAGTGCCCTGAAGACGGTTTGCCGATGTGCAACCGAAATATATCGGAAGAGAATTGAATAAAATTGTTTTTCATTGTTTGTTTTAACAAACACGGACCTCGAGCCAGCCAACAAATAAATATTATATTTTCCATTCAATATGTTATAGTGCTTGTCCTGACTGGCTGACTGAGTTATTGTCTGACTGATTGGTGATCAAAGCGCAGCCCAAACCAAAGCTAGGAAGCTGATATTTTCACTGTAGAAATTCCACCCGCAAGTGTTGAAAAATCGCGAAAAATATTTGTTTGAAACTGTTTTGCTTACCATCCGATCAGTTTTAGTACTCTGTCTCTCTCTCACTCTCTATCGTTTTCTATCTTTTCCTATATAGAACTGTATTATTCATATATTCCTCATAACTGGCCCTTTCCCTATCTATCACTCTCTCTCTCTCTCTCTCTCTCTCTCATTATCCTTCTCTCACTCTCACTCTCTTTCCCTCTCCGTCTTCCATCCTCTCTCTCTCTCTCTCGTTCTCTCCCTCTTTTTCTCCCCGTCTCTCCAATATTGATCAGTATTATTTGTATATTTCTCATAATCCTCTCTCTCTCTCCCCTTCTCCCCTTCTCTCACTCTCTCTATATTCTCTTTCCCTCCATCTTTCTCTCTTCCCCTCTCTCTCTCTCTCTGTTTCTCCTCCTCGCTCTCTTTGAATTATTCATATATTCCTCGCATCTGTTGCTTTCAGCCTGTGTCATTGGTAGCTTCAGTCGCTTCCCTGTTGATTGCTGTGCAGCGAATGGAACTCACCTCATTCATCACCGGCGTTTGTTGTTGCTGCTGCTGTTGCTGTTGTTGTTGCTGTTGCTGCTGTTGCTGCTGGGCCTGCTTCTTGGCACTGGCGCGCTTTGTGGGCTTCTTGGCTACCGGTGTTGGATTGCCATTGGCATCGACCGTTTTCTTGCGCACATTCTTCGTGTTGGGCAGCTTGTTGTCCTTCTTCCACTTCATGCGCCGGTTCTGGAACCAGATCTTGATCTGGCGCTCCGACAGCACCAGCGTGTGGGCAATTTCGATGCGCCGCCGTCGGGTCAGGTAGCGATTGTAATGGAACTCCTTTTCCAGCTCGAGTATCTGGTGGCGTGTGTAGGCGGTGCGTTGGCGTTTCGGCTCCATGCCCGGCTGATACGAGCCGTTCGCTGCAAAAATAAAAAACAAAAGATAGAGAGAGGCAGAGTGGGAGCATGAGAAGATGCATAATTAATGATTGAGAACAGGGAAAGGGGCATGGACTGGGGGCAGTGGCAGGCCGATTAAGTCGCAACGAGTCACAATTAATACACTTCAAATTTAGTTTCATAATAAGCAGCAAGAAGAAGGCTCAATAAATCTCGCCAGATAAGTTGACAACCCCAAAAAGCGCGCCAAAAACTTTTGACAACACCTTGAACCCCCGGGCCACCGCCCGAAGGGTAGATATACACGAAAAAGAAGAAGAAGCCACCGACAGCGGGCAGATGAAAGAGCTGCACTTACACAGCGCCCGTCCAGGATAATTAATCAAAATCAAGTAAAACAACTGCCTGTCCGTCTGCCTATCGAAAAAAGGACAACATTGCGCGCTCGCATTTAGTTTTTCCTCGAACGCTTTAATTAAACATTTCCCGCCGCAGCCACCGCTCACCCCGCAGCCGTTTTATCCTTTTCCTGTTCCGTTTTTTACGCGCCACACCTGCTGTCCACGTTCACGATTCGAATCGGGCCTACGACTGCAACAAATAGAGCCAACGGACAACCGACAGCCCATCAAATTTATATTCGCACCATCAATTTCAATTTGGCCAGTTCGCAATGCCATCGAGTTTTGGGTTCGGGCTCAGGGCTGATGTCTCTATCTGTATGGCTGTTGCAGGGTCCTGGCGCTGGCTCCGCAACTTGACCAATCATATCCGGAGCGCACATCAAGTTGTAATTTATAAAAATTTCATTGCACTGTGACAGACAGCTTTCGATTTGATATAAATATTTCAATCCCAACTGCTGTGCTGCCGTTTCTCAGCTGCTAGATTAATGATGTTGTCCACTGGTCGCTGACAGCCGCAGGGGTAAAAGAAAGGGGTCGAGCGGGCAAGGGTTTCACCTCCGCCCGCCCTCTTCTATTACTCTCTCTTGGGATTTAGTTTACCATCTTTGAGTCGCAATGTTCGTAGGCCTAAAAGAGCTGTTCACAAGTTTTACATTCTGTTTCCTAGTTGTACTTTTTATTTAAGTAAACTTACTTTTTATTTTAATGTACTTAATCAGTTTTACTTTTAATAAATAATGATATAAAGAAAGTTTTTGTATTGATAGGATTAACATTGAATCAGCCAAAGAACCAAAAACTTTATATCCAAGCGCTTCAATTGAATTGTGTGTCAGCTCTAATTCATTTCTATTTTAGTTAATCGCTTTTAACCTCTTGCAAGTTGTTTAAGCTAATGCAAGTTTATTACTATGTTTTTTGGCAGCGTCTTGACCGATAATCTTATTCTCGAATATCTTTACAGTACAGTAGACTACTTTAACAAATGATATTTACATATTTAGCCAAATACAAAATAATTCGATTTTTTTAACATTCTGAAACTCAATTTTAGAACCGAGAAAAATATCACATGAGAATAGAATACCCATTATCAAAGACCAAATGTTTAGTTTGTGCTCTCAGGCTCTCAGCCTCTCATTCCCTCTCCCTCTCCCTCTCCCTCTCTCTCTCTCTCTCTCTCTCTCTCTCTCTTTCCTACCAACTTTAACAAGTTTAACATATTCTTATTTTATATAAAAAGTGTTCCTTTTTCTTTTAACAAAATAAAAATGCCAAGTTTTCACTTTTCCTTCAAGCATTGACAGAAATTCTTATAAAATTCCTTCATGTATAAATCATCATGTCGATTCGTCAAGACTTCTTTACAATCTTTAGAAAATGTCTGCACAAATTCTTTAATGAGTTATTGATTTGATAAAGTTGTGAATAAAAGAAGCAACAACAACAAACATAAAAATTAAACAATATCAATTACAAAGCCCCAAAGGAACAGGCGGCACGCGGAACGAAGGAACAAGAACAATGAAAACGAAACCAATGAAGGCAATGGCCGCAAACAACGCGACGTCAGCTGCTGCGTAGGCGTTGACGTTGACTTTGACGTCGGCATCGCAGCTGACGTTGCAGCCGGCGTTGGCAGCATGCTGCGTTAATTCGTTTTTAATAAGTGCGTATCATTTCATTTCAACATTTCAACGAAATGTCCAGTGTGCCGGGTTGAGCGGGTTGCCATGTCCATGTCCATGTCCAGGAAGAGGCCTTCAAGCTGCGGCCGGGGGTTTCCAAGTCCAAGTCAAAGTCGTCTCGCCGCCCAAATAGCGCTGCGTCATGCTGCGGAGCGCTTGCCCAAAAGAGTGCCAATTGCAATTGCCTGGCAGCCAATTTATGAAAATGCCAAATCATACAAGGCCAAGGAAATCAAGATTGCACAAACAACAAATAATGTTGGTGAAGGAGGGGGCGAGGGGCGAGGGGCGCGGGGCAGACAATGTTGCAGGAACGTAGCGTGAAACTGCTAAAGAGCGAGCTGCTTGTTTTTTTTTTGGGAAAATTGGCGCTCTCTGGGGAATTGGCGGCAATGTTTAAACATATTAGTGCGTAGGTAGCTGCCCTCTATCTCCCTCCCTCTCTCTGGCACAGTCTCCTGCTTTTACCCCATATCATGGGTAGGTTATAATTGGCCCTGCCTCATGCACGGCTGTCGGCATGTTTGTCCCATCGCATGATTTATCATGCATTTGTGACTCCACAATTTCATTCATAGACGAGGGACGTTAGTTCCAAAAAAAAAAAAAAAAAAAAAAACTATGTCAGACGTTACTTAATAATCATAATCTTTTGTGTCGGTGGCGGCTACATTTCAGAGCAAAACCCTATATTCAATGCCAGGCCCAGTCAGAGGCCCGGCCCGGCGATATGCTCCATATCGCTTTAATCCACAAAAACTGATCGCTGCCTTTGAGGTGCGGTCATCTGGGCAACTTCCGGGCTTTAACTACACTTTCATTCATTCGCAATCTTCGAGTAACTGGGCCAACTGCTTCCACTTGATTAATTGCTGCGATACTGCGAGAGTGTGTAAATATTTTGGATATGTGGCCGGGGCACGACCTGTGATCGAGAAATTTGACTCGTGCCAAGCAGAAAATAATTTTTACGTCTGTCAACTTTGATTTAGCTGCTCATTCATCAAACGCAACGCGAAACCCGTTCCAAAAAAAAAAAAAAAAAACACAAAAATCTCTCCTCAACCGGCGTTAAATTTCTTTAGCAACATTGTGGGTAAAACATTATCAAATGACAATAAATTCATATTTTCTTGGCCCTAATGAATGGTTGGCTAAAAGTGAGTGCAAGGCGCACATTAAGCATACGTCGCGTTGGCCAGCGTCAATTGAATTCTAAGCTGAGTTCTGTTTCAGGTTTTCATTTTATTTATTTTTTTTTATAAAGTTTAGTTTATTGATGTTACCAACAACTGTGAATTGCCGGCAGCTTGTGTGTGGGTAAATTTACTTATTTATATTTTTTTGTGTGTGCCATGAGCTCATGGAAAAAGGCAAGTCAACATCAGCATTTCAACAACAGCGGGAGCTGCATCAGCAGCTTGTCAAGTGACTTGCAATTTGTGGCAGGCAAATAAAAATAAACATGAGCTCATGCTACTTACACACACACACTCACAGCAAACCCCTAGCATGCGTACCACAAATCTCATGTACTTACAAAACAATTCTTTACACATACACACACACACATACATACACATCCTATAAAGTTACAAACTGAAGCACCCGCAGCAATTGAACTTGTAGCTGGGAGACTGCATCACAACTCGAATTGTTAATTTGCTCGCAGCAATTTGTTAAATTTTTTGCTGCACTAAAAAAAACAGACTTAAAACAATATGTTAATTCCAGCGCACGAATTGCGAATAAATAAAACCAAAACAAATTAAATTCTATTTAAAAGCTAGAAGGCGCTCGATAAAAATGTATCTGGGAAGACGTCAAAATGATTGATGTCAACCCAAACAGAATTTGTTCATTAATAAAACTACAACATGGTACCAGGTTTTGCAATGTTTATAACTGGAGGCGTACGTACTTTAAATTAAAATTAAAAAAAAAATAAATAAATAAATACTTAAAGAATAAACGAATTCTTTTTAAGAATAGAAAGTTTATAATTGTTGTTATATTTCAAAAATCATAAACTGTCCATATATTGAGAAAATAATAAAATTAATTGATCGGTCCTAGGCGCTTGGCTCTTTAAAAAAGCTTGAATAATAAATGAATTAAGATAGCATATGTATAATTAATTTTTAAATATTTAATATAAATTGTCTTCATTCAAAATCAAAAGCTTGCTTCAATATGAAAGTTCTATGTAAAATTAAAGCGTGCAACAAATTGAATCCAGAGTTTTTCAAATTATTCTCAAATTTTAATTTTGTTTAAAAAACGTATAATATTGTAAATATTATTATTAAGTAAATTTCTCTCGCAAATCATAAAACTCTTCTTAATCATGAAAATAATATTGTTATTATAATTTTGTTATGAGTTGATAAAGCCCGTAGATATGTCCGTCCGTCTGTCTGTCGGCCTTTCTGTTTCTATGCAAACTAGACTCTCAGTTTTATGGCTACCGTCTTGAAAGTCCATCTATTTCTATTCTTGTTTACTTTAAGAAAAATAAATGTATATATGGCCAGAATTTGAATTGAACTATACAGGAAAAACTTTTAGTTTCTGTGTAGAATGAATGGTGAATAACTTGTCTTAAATGAAGTCTATAGTGTAGTCAGCTAACTGTCGCTTTTCTATTGTACTATGCACCTATTTATTCTTCCGCGCTGAGTAATAACAATCGCAGCACATTCACAATAGATTTTCACTTTCCATAGCCCCACAACCAGAAGCGAACCTAATGACCAAGAACTGGCAGCTCGCCGAAACGGAATCTAGACTTGTCTTGAAACCATTTTAAGATATTTTTTTTAAGTTGAATAAGTTGCAAATAATACGAGAAACAAAAATGAGACTCTGACCAAAAGCCGAAAGACAAACAGTAACAAGTTAAGAAGCTCACGACTTTAAAGTCTTTAACAATAGACGCGACCTTGAAGCTACGTTTTGTTCAAAAATAAATAATATGGAAAATAAGAAACGACACGAAACGACTGTGACTGCCAGTTTTGACTGCTGCAGTTGGGCATGATTCTTGTTGCCGACTTGGACCAATAAAAGCGTCGCTAATTAATGCCAATTTCAATAATTCCGCACAAGTTGAGAGCTTCAGAGTTTTATTGGCGCAAATTGAGCGCAAGCCGTAGGGAGTGTGCGAAACTGTAAATACTCTGTCAATTCTCGGCTCCATTCACATTTCTGTGATTGTTGTTGTCCATTGGGACGCTAATTACGCTTTGTTCGCCAACAGATACAAACGGAGTGGACATACAGATACAGATACGTTTAGAGATCCAGCTGGTGCGGCTGCTCCATCTGTCATAAAAGGCGAACTTCTTAATTTTTACTGCGTCATTTTCATCATTGTCATGCCCTGGGCTTGGGCCTCTGCTGGGGGTTGGGGGGCGACGAGACGAGTCTCTGGGTGCCTCCGTCTCTGCGCATTTTGCAAAGGCTGCTCAGTTTCAGTGTTGGGTTTACAGCATCTCGGTCTGAGTCTGGGTCTGGGCTTGCACTTTTTTTTTGCCGCCTCAACAGAGGTGAGATGCTGATGAGGTTTTTCGCAAGTCATCGGGTAACTGTGACTGCCAGCCGTGAGCCTGGCCTGGTCTGGTCTGGCCCGGCCCGGCCTGGCCTGGCCTCTGCGGCACATTGGAAACTTAATCGTGGACTTGCCATTGAAATTCAGTTACAAGGCTGGGCACGTTTTCAGTGTGCTTGCTTTACTATGACCATAAATGTGAATACGAGTGTCAGTGTGTAAGTGCCAGTGTGAATATGAATATGAATACTAGCATGCATTGCTGTTGTTATTGAATGTTATATGGAACGTAAACTCGCCGATCATCTGCATGTTCTGGTAATAGCATAAAGTACAGCTTAGTTAAGCTTTTAAGCTCTCGTGCATAAAATCAATGTTTCGCGTACATTCATGCTACCTGTATTCTTAAATATGTGCGTGCTTCTGTGAGTACACAAGTGCATTCATTTGATTAGCATACACGAAATTCACTTTAGAGCTCAAGTATTTTTCTGAAGTGTGGCGTGAGAAATACCTACTTTTAATTATTCTTCAAAATTAGACATCCAATTTATAAAAAAATAAAACGAATAATTAAAAATTAATAATTACATCAGCATTCAAGTTTGAAATAACATTTTCGAATAGTTAGCATAATCAAGAGATTATTAAAACGGCTAAGACATATTTAAAAGAAACAAATATTTACTTTATGTACAAAATTCTTAGGTTTCTTAAAATGTGTTTGAGACTTAAACATATAACTTTGACATGTCTTATAGAAATGTTTAAAATACCTATATATATATATATTTATATATATATATATAACTATTCATCGTTTAAAGAACATTTTTGTTCTTAATATTTAATAACTGCTTAAGTTAGAGAAAAAGAGAGAGAGAGAGAGAGAGAGAGGCGCCCATCTCCGACCTATTTCTGTTCTTTCTATAATTTCTATATCTGTTAAAATCATTGAGATTAATGCATAAATCGAAAAGATTAAATAGCTAAAGACAGCTAAGTAATATCAAAGTTAATCGATATTAAATTTCATAATTTATTCATGAATATACATAAAGAAAAACGGCGGGCAAATGACAAATCTGTTCGTACTTGATTGCAAAAAGTTCATGAACCCCTGTCAGGAATTGCAAAGCAAAAGAGAACAAACAATTTAAGAGAGTAATAAGAAATGAGCACGTGGACTCCTTAGTAATTAAAATTAGTTTAAATAGCAAGAATAATAAAAATATGAAATTTGTATCAACCCAAGAAAATTTTGTATAGTTCCATACCATAATTCAATAATTCAAATATTGTCAACACTTTGCAACTATCAAATAAATTGTTTTCTAAATACATAAACTTTGACCAATTATAGCGCTGCTTTTAGCTGTTATTTATATTGATTGTTGTTGTTGTTGTTGTTGTTGCTGTTGTTTTTGGCTAGGGGCTTATTATACAAATTGAATGGGCCCGTTTTTGGACCACACGCCACCTGATACGCACGCCAACTCATGTAGTAATATTTTGTGCCTAGGCAAGCGCTAACCGAGTGTAAGTCATTTGTAAAAGACCTGAGAACAACAACACAAACAAGAACGAGGCACCGGCTCAACAGGCAACAAGATTGGAACTGAGCCTGAGAACTTGGGACTGGGGCTGTGGCTGTGGCTGTGGCTGTGGCTGCGACTGGGGACAGCCACATTCCGCCTAACGAGAGATGATGCACTGGCGATAATCAAGTTTCGTCTTGTTTTCGTAGTCGTACGCTCATGATAAATGTCACAACATTAACATCAAATGACACGGACCATCCGTCACTCAGTCGGAGTTTTGTCTGTTGCCCCTGAGCGATCTCAAACGTCTGTCTGTCCATCTGTCTGCCTGCCTGCCTGCTTGCTTGCCTGCCGAACTACTTCGATTTGATGCTCATCAGCATAGTTAATCCCCTCGAGTCGAGTCGAATAGAGTTGAGTCGGTGTCGCACGTCGAGATTGTCTCTGGAGTGGGTTTTGAAGAGAGCGCGTGTCGCAACCAAATGATATAATTGCCCATTAGGGTCAAGGTTATGTTTAATTGGAGTGCATCAGCGCGCTGCATAGTCGCTGAGACTAAGCAAGTATGTATGCTAATTAAAAAGCAATTTATCAGCTAACCCAGTTGCCGACCGAGTCAAAGCCATCCCGCACACGTTTGTTATGCACTCGCCACCTGAACCTGTCAGCCCTATTTATTGTCAGCCGGCCAGCTGGTATTGCCCGCGGGGCACCATGTCCATGTCCAGTTCCAGTCCCAACCAGATGCGGTAGCCAATTTTGGTAGAATTAAAACAATAAGCGCTGACAAACGTCGCGACGCGTTTTGATAATCGAACTCAACACATGGCTCAATGAATATGGTTTTAGGCGCGTTAATGTTCCGGCGCGACAATTAATGGTAATTATCTATCGAAGCTGACATTCGGATTCGATCGCACGCATAGGTACATATACTAATATATATATATATATATATATTCAACCACCTGGGTATTGGTGGCCAAGTTCATTCGCTCATCGAAGAGTGAATGGAAACCTGTTTCCGCAGCCCACATTCGAGTCGGTGTGTGGTGGGAAAATATTAAAAACATAGAAAAAAACATGAAACTTGCAATTGGAATAAAAGTCGTTAGGAAAATAGGGTGCGCAATAAAAAAAAAAGAAGAAGTGTGAGCTATGCTGCTAAGAAAAGCTACATATGTTAGGGGCTGTCTTCACTGAGTACTTATGTTTCAGATGTTTTTATGTTTTATGTTCCCTGCCTAATCTAGGGTATATTTAAAGAGAGTTTCTCAAAGGCAAACATCAAATTGATAGTCTTATCTATACGTCTATGATACCTAATAAATTTGACGTTTTTGAGTTCCCTCAAATCAAAGTTTTCTAAATTTAATTTGGTATTTCCATAAGTTTCTGAGGCATGAAGATAAAAACCCCTTAGATAATATCAGTCAAGAGATAAACTGTTAAATATAATATAAACTAGTTTTAAAAATACATCATAGTCGATTTTTATTCAAAGATGCCATTCTAACCAAATGTGGACATCTAATTGATTTATATAAAAACCAAAAAAAAAAGAGAAAACAAAATAAAAATCCGTCACGCCGAAGATTTAATACCCTTTAATACCCTCTTGCGGATATGTGAAAATAGTGAAGATCGTAAATGCTGAGTTTTTAAATATTTTTGAAAACAGAATACTTTGTCATATCCTACTAATTCAGTAATCTTTCCTATAGCAGCTATGTAATATACTGGTCCCATGTTGATAAGATTTTGCATATATATGACGATTATAAGGGAACTAATAAATTCCGAGTTTGATTTCAAATTTCATGACAAAATTATTATACCCTCTACAACGGCATAAAAAGAAACAAAGGGGAATCCTTACGAAAGTTATTTTGAAATAGAAACCCAAAAGCATCTGCATCTGATACGTACTAATAAATATAATGATGTGTATATATATTATTAAAATTATTGAAGTATATATATGCTATTAATATCTATAATCTTACTTTGAATACTACCCTAAATTCTGTTTATAAGAATCAAAAAACAACAAGTGGTTTCCGGTGGGAAAATAGTCTAATATACTTTAATGATCACATTAAAGAAGCTTCTGAGTTCGTAAGGCACAATCCCAAAATTGTCAACTGTTTGCAAATTTAAATTAAATCTGCGATTCATTAATAATATTTAATGAACTTAAATGAAGAATTTCACTTCGTTAGATTTGGCTTGCAGCAATTAAATTATAAATCTATGTTCATTTGCGGCATACATATTTCAAGTAACACAATTGTTTCCCCACAGAGCATAAGATTTGACAAATCCACTTAAAGACACAGCGAGTGTTGAAAGAGAACTGAATAGGCTTTACTTTAGTCGAGTGGCAGTTGCATACAGATACATCCATATGAATATGTACATTGTATATAGTCATATGGTATGAATATGTCACTCGCCATATACATTTTTGCCCTCAGCAGAAGGCGCGCCATTCTTGATTTTGATTAATGAGCAGCGAGCAGAGTTATTTTTTTTTTGGGGTCTTTTAGTTTTTGTTATTTGCCAAAGTCGAGCATTACAAAGTCTGTCAGTGGATCACGTGGGTGTTGGCAGCCAAGTAATTTAATTAGCATACGGCACACTGTGTGCTTTATGGGTGCATCTTCGTGTAGGTATTTTTGTGTGTGGAGCTGTACTTACCAACGCCCGCTACATGAATCTTCTTCATCCATGGGTAAATGATGCGCTCCCCGTCGGTTGTCTCGGCCATCAGATCATCATCGCTGTCTGAATCACCCAGATCATCATCGTTGTCGTTGGACGCCAACTCGTCTGGGGATCGATCGAGCATCAGACGATCCTCTTCAGACATATCCTGAATGGGAAACAGGTATTTTGCATTAGTCTATTCGCTGGCATTTATCACATTTCTTTGTTTGTTTTTATTTACATTTTCCGATCCCATATCATCACAGTGTAGCACCTCTTGCAGCTGTTGACCGGTGGGTGCGGCTTCTTCAAGGCGTTTCTCTAGCTTTAGGCCTGTAGTGGAGATTTTAAAGTTTACTAAATATGCATTTTTTATTCATATTGATATAAATTAAATTAGATTGTCATATTCAAAACTTAAATATTTTAATATGCCACATACATGATTACATACATGATTAATTGGAAGTTTAACTTGAATTATAAACTTTGGCATTCAAAGACCGTTTCAAACATTTTTAAGAATTCACATTCAAACATAATTTAAAAGTTAAAAAAAAAAAAGAAGTATAACTAATGAAATCAAGAAAAAAGAAAACTTCTGGAAAGATTTCTTTATATATTCCCAATGTATATGACTATCCTTTTCCCATAATCGAATCATTCGCTGACATTATAAAAGTTTGATTGGCTCTATATGCACAAATTTCAATTTAGTTCAAAACTTATCCAAGTATGTGGTTATAACTTTGCAAAGTGGGCGTAATGTAAATTTAAAAAAGTGATTACTAATTATAGTACAATAAAATGCCAAGCCCCTCAGTCCGTTTCTTTCATTAATATTTCTTGGTGAACTTCTTCAAAAAATATTTATTAAGTTAAACACAAAATTCGAAAAACGATATTCGACAATTTCAGTTGCTATCAATTGGATTTATTGATCGATTAATCAAAAGTGAAATTGCGATTTAGACGGTACCAACTTTCCCATTTTGCCGTTTATATAAAAAACTCACTAAATGAAGAACTTGAAAAAGGATATGTTATAACAGATTTAAAAAATATATTTCTGAAAAAGGTAAAAGGTTTGGAATTTCAACTATATAATAGCGAATAGAAAAGCTAACCTACACATTTTTAAATATATTTTAACAAAAATAAATAAATAAGTAAGTTTCGATTAAAATTACGAAAATCCTATGTAAAATATAAATAAATTGCTAAGACACATCAATTTTGATAATCAAACAATACCATATTTTTAAAATTTATATATTAAACTCTTACTAAAATATTTTAAACTTAAGCCAAATTTGTTTATCATAGAAAGGTTGTGTTGTTGAAGATGACCAATTTGAAGTCTCAGACGACTCACCTAACTCCTGCAGACCCAATGAGGTGTTTGTTGGCGGCTCCGTTGAGGAGCATTGCAGTGGCAGGTCCATCATCTGTGAGGAGAGCGGCGAGTGGCCTTGGGAGTGGGTGCTGCCGACGCTGCCGTTGGTGGTGCCATAGTAGCCGCCGTAGTATCCATTGGAGCCATTTGCGCTACTGTTGTTTGGCACGTTCACCGACGGCGGCGGTCCGTAACCCGCCTCCGAGTGCACCACACCGGCGGAAATGTACTCGGGCGCATGGTGCACAGCCGCAGCGGCTGCCGCCGCGGCATGGTGCCCATAATAGCCCAGACTCTGGTGCGGATGCGGATGATGCGTGGGCGGCGTTGTGGCATAGTTTGTCGCGTAGCCCGCGTTCTGGTGATGGTGGCCAGAGAGCGGGCTGTTGCTGTGGTGGTGCGAGTGCGTGAGCGGGTTATGGTTGTGGTGGTGCGCGGCGGCGGCCATGTAATCATTGACCATTTCCGCCGGATGCGTGGCGTGCGGGTGACCAGACATGCCAGGGCCGCCGCCACCAAGCCCAGCACCCCCACCACCAGCACCAACACCAACACCAACACCAACACCAACACCGCCGCCCATGTGCCCCGTCGATGCGGTCATGGAATAGTGACCATTGTAGTGATGATAGTCATCGGCAACCGGCGGGAACTTGGGATCTAGGCCATTACCCATGGACATGGGGCTCTGGACATGATGTGGCGCATGTGGATAACCCATGAGGAATGAGCTCATCGTAGTTTCTGTGTTTCTATCGTGGTTTACTAAAACTCTTGCTAGGCTCTGGCTCTACGACTGCTGCTCGCTGAGCGCATATTTCATTTCAATCTTCACTTATTGGCACTCACTTTTTGTTGCACTTTTTGCCTTTGTATGATCACTTTATTGGGACTGTGGCCAGCATTATTTTTGATGCGGGGGCTCTGTTTATTAAACACAGCGCGAGTGTCGCGCAACCGGCGCGTAAAAAACGTTGAAATTAAGCGGCGCCGTGAACAACAAAAAATCCAGACAATTTGACAGCGGCGTTCAGAAAACATTCAAAAATACCAAAAAAGACGACGCGTCCGATTCACGAGTGCGAATGCGAACCGTTCAATTCGAGCCGTTCTTTTGTTATGAACACGAACGAACGCTCTGAGCGCGAGCGAACCTGTTTTCTGTTTTCCTTGTCCACAGTTGTTTCTACTGCTTTTCGCGCTCTCCCTCATTCGTTCTCTCTCTCTCTCTTTCTCTCCTTCTCTCACTGTTCGCTCCGAAACGCAGCGTACAAATCGCCATTGCCATTGACAGCTAGCGATGACGTCTACGAGTTTCAAAACTCGATTTACTGGTTTTGTTTTTGGCTTCACTGAGAGCAACAACAGTGTAAAAAGGACAGCCCACACGCAGTGAGAGCTCCGTAGCCATGGCTGCACGCCATTTTCAACCACCGAGCAGCGAATGTGTTGGTAGAGTGCAGAGGGCTATTGTGCAAGCGAGATGACACGATATTTAGTCACACCCATTCGATGCCGCGCCGGTTGCTTTGCGTTTGCTACAGGTGCGGCTGATATATTGAGTATGGAAGTAATATTAACCAACTTTCTACGAATTTCTTTATTTTGAGCTACGAAAGCAATAATTAATTAACTATTCGAGGTTAACAATTATAATAATTATCAGATATATTTTAAAATGTTATTTCTTCGTATTTGCAGAATGTTAATAAACTTACTTAGTTTAACGATGAGTTGATTTTTTTTTTTTTTTAATGCAAGCGTATGTATTTTTTCAGTGTAAGTACTTACATTAATATCAGGGGAACCACATTTAAACGTAAGCGTATACACTTTAATGGAGGTGACTGTTTACTGTTGACGATTGTCTGAGCGAGCGTGAGTGTGAGTGCGAGTGTGTGTTGCTTTTGTGGCATTCGGCCATGGCGCACGCTCAAACTCGAAAACTGCCCTTTGCCGTCTCGCATCGTGCGTGGCCAACAAGCACCGCCCACTTTTCACTATGCCTTTCATCGATCCCGCGTGCGAATATGGCAGGCCAGAGACCATTTATTTTCCAGAATCCAAAAACCGATGCAACACAGTCTCTGGAACTGCAAACTACAGTCGTATCGATCGTAGGGCCAGGTCTGTGTGAAGTGTTGATATGAATTGCTCGTCTTTGGCTACCGAGTTGAGAGGCTCTACATAAATACATATATACGAGTACTACACACAATTCAACTATACACACACATATAGCTCGAAAGGCAGCGGCTGACTTGCAATATTTGCCCATTGCCATTGAATGTTGAATGAATATCACCGCACTTGGCGCAATGTTTCATTTTTATATTGTGGTTAGCGGAAAGGAGGGGGATGCTGTGGCTGCTGTTGTTGTTATTGTTGTTTTCGTTGTTGTTGTTGTTGTTGTTGTAGTTGTTATCATTACTACCGTGATTTGTATTGTTGCTGAAAATGTTGATGAAATGATGAGCATGACTGGCATTTATTCAAATGAGCCGGGCACACATGGAAAATCGATAGAATGATTGTTGTATAATGCACATAAAGAAGGTCGAACATTAAACGCTTTAATATTTTTACACCTAAATATTTAGACTCTTTCTTTACACTCTAACAACAACAAACGCAGCCTCACTATATTTTATCTAATGAGGCTTATGCTTCTTTGTAGGTTTATTATGTGAGCCACACTTCTGCCATGTGCCCTTCATATACACACCTATCTGTGGGCCGTGTGGGTGAGCCCTGCGACCGTCTAATTACCGAATAATTGAACCCATTCCAGAGTAGCACACGTGCTATACCACACAGCCAGACGAGTCTATGTTGCCTCTGTGTGTGTGTGTGTGTGTGAGACTACTAATTAATCGACTTCCAACTGATTCGAATTTGATGGTGACTATCAAAAGTTCATTAGGTCTATTAAGTGCATAAAACTTAAATTTATAGGCTCACGGAAATGTCCGACAATAGCTTTTGTCCATTTGTTAATTGTTAACTTCTTTGAATTATTAATGTTAGCAAGAGAACTTAGTTAAGGTATGTTGAGATTTGTGCAAATAATTATTAGACGTGAACACGAAGTTATTTAATTTACTCTATTTAAATTCGAGTATTATCCAAGTATTATCCAGCTTTGCTCGGGCCAAAATTTGATGATTCACAATTTCGATTTTATTAGTACGTAAGAAATGTAATATACTTACTTAGTTCATTGATAGGTAAATGGAATTACGAAAGATTTACGCCCATTTTATTTCCGTGAGGGGGGCAACAATGAACATAATGCCGAAGATTCAACTTTGACTCATGCAACCCTTGACCGGCATTATCCATCGAGGAAGGGTAGCTTTTGCGAAAACTGTGAAACGCCTCTCAAATAAGTTTTAGCAAAGATCTTTATAAATGAGTTTGCGGTTGATTGGACGATAAGCAACAAAGTTTCATGCAACCGCTTTCCGCGTATTTTTCACACTTGCATGTGAAATTTCCAAAAGCCCAAACAGACCAAACATTTATAAATATCGTATATAGATAACTAACATAAGATTGTCTATTAACAGAGGATAATAATAATTTGTAGATTATTTAAACCCCAATAGCTTACAAACTTCTGAAAGGACCTGCATTGTAAGTATTACAAAACTACACGAATTTATCCAGAATCAAATAAATCCCACGTTCTTTTTCTTTTGGCTCCTGAAAAACACTGATCGTGGCAAAACATCGCACAATAAAATAAAAAGAAAGACTTATGCAAGACTACAAAATAAAAACTCTTTGTTTGACAAGCACTTAAGAATGTTTGTGGAGCTGCTTGGGATGTTTTTGAAGTTTGGAAGGAGCAACCGCATTAGTGGCTGCTCCACTGAATTTACTTTATGCCAAGCTCCTTGATATGAGGCTGACCGACTACCCGGATCCAGAATGCGTTGAAAGGCAGGCGGGTGGTTCGCTGAGTGCTTTGTCTCTGTTATGTCGCGGGAATGGGCAGTGGGTGGCTGCTCGGTCTGCTGCTTGGCGCAGCGTTTGAGTTCCAAATCCCAATTCAGAGCCAGCAATCAGTTGCGACTGTCAGGCGGCAAAGGAAGTTCACTTGCTGCACAAGGCAAATGTGATTAATGGTTCCATGCGGGGCACATTATGTGTGCCCTGTCGTGAGGCGCTGTTTGTCTTGGGTTCGCATTCGTATTCGTAGTCGTATTGCCGTTCTTTGTTGTCTCTTTTTCCATTTTTATTTAGTTTTTTTTTTTTTTTTTATATTCATTTTGCTCCATTCGTCTTTAAGCTACCCTTCAAATAGATTTTTGTATATAAAATAAAGCAACCTGATAACCCGTTCATAAATACTTTTTTATTGGGTTTTAGGCGTAAATTATGCAGATGGGCGCTGCCCAAACATATCTAATTACCTATTTAATTTACATGATTTGATTTTCTAAGCTTGATAAACAATAAGAATTAATCTGTCATATAAGAGCAAACGGGCAGGTGCTTAAAGTTATGTAAGCTTAAATTTAGATGACTGGCCTAATGAATAAATGAATACTCGATTCAAGGCTCCCTTTTAAAGAATCTGCGTTAATGCAGCCCTCGATTAAATATAGTTTGGAATTGTTAAAGAATTGAATTTCAATATTAGTTTTGTTTTATTTCAACTAGCTTTATTGGTTCGTTCAGAATAATGCTTCATAAATATTTAGAGGTATTTTCAATTTGGCTTGAAATGCGTAACACATAGAATGAGACATATCGAACCCCGTAAAGTACAAATATTGTAGATTTGCATCAACAGCCGAGTAAATATAACCACCGACTTGAAACTTTACATAGGTCCGTATTTTTTGTTAGGCAGTACATATGTCAAAACCGACCGGAGTAGACTACTTATAAATAATATTCAACTAATATTCAAAAATATTTCCTTTTCCCAGATATATTCACTCAGCATTTATATGCCGAACATTATCACTTTGTGTGTAAATCAGTGGAGACATATTAGTATAGTTTTATATGTGGTTTTGTGTAGATATTCAAATATGTGCGCAGCTTTAGTAAAGTCAAAAACTGAACTTCGAAAACTGGTTCAAAAAATCATAAATAATTGTTCTGACTGATTTCTCTTAGCAACTGACTGTGATTGCAAATTATTTTGCTCATATCTACTTCAAAGACTCGAATGTTTTAAAAAAAATCAACAATCAACATGAAATCGTGCTAGCAAATGCCTATGCTAAATTTTTGTCATCTTCATAAAAAGGAATTTTTAAAGGCATTCAATATTGATTATTTAGACCCGTCAGCTTTCAGCTGAAATGGCAAACTCCCAACGATCTGTTTAGCATGTAAATTGGTTTAACGACATGTTGACAAGTGAGATTGAGCGTGGCGACAAGTGTGGGAACCGAATGCTGATTAGCCTGTGGATCGGGCCAATTTTGAAGAGATGAGCTTATGTATTGGGCCAGGAGTGCGTCACAGGACTATTAAGGAGGCCTCGGCGCACTGAAATGTTTGATTGAGTGATTAATGATTGACTGCGCCGTTTGCGCCAATCACTGGCGACGCAATTAAAGCTTGAGGCAGCCATCGTGTGACTTTTATTGACTTTAAATTGAAACTTCGAACATGATTTGAATGAAAGTTGCCGAATTGGGCAAGGGCTTGACTAACAGCTCGGGCTTAGGAGTTAAGCCACATATATGTGCATTATGGCCAAGTCTGAGGGCC